AGAAATGAATGGATATTAGCATGATCTTCTTAAGGTAACAGAAGGAGAAATGCTCAAAGTTAACTTTGTTGAATGTATGTAAAGATTTGTTACCGACAACCACATGCCATCAATAACTGGCAAAAGATCCTATTCAACATTAGCAAAATATTATTATGACAATAGTAAAAATAAAGTTATTTCCGAATCATTAGTCTTGGAGTCTTTACTAAACGATTTAAACTGTTTCTCGAAGCTCAAATTATTTTGGCAATTTGGGCTTTTTATATAATAAGGGTGTGCATTTAATATTCCAAATCATTATTCTTATTTAAAAATTAAAAAATAATTCATCACAATTATAATAAATCAATTAAATATTAATAAATAAATTTAATAAAACAATTTAAAATAACATGAAGTCCGAATATGCAATTTTTACCAATTTCGTCAGACAAAAAAAAATATTATACATGTATCTATATTGTATTTTTATGAACCGGGTTTTGATGCAAAGTAAGGATAATAAGTTGTGTCATTAGTTAATGATTTGTGGAGCAAGGTCAGTACTCGATCAACAGTTGATTTAACTTGTCTGTAAAAAACCAAACTTTTAGCTTCTACATAGAGTTATCCAGGTCTTCACACAGTCCTTGGCAAATTGTTAACACAATGCTTGTCGGTAAAATGTCCTGTCGATAAAATGTCCTGTCGATAAAGTGTCTTGTCGGTAAAGTGTCTTGTCGGTAAAGTGGACGGACCCACCAAAAAATCACCAATACAATATTTTTGATAAATGCACTAGCTATGAATTTAGATCCATTGATATGGGAAATTTAATCCTGAACGACTTTTAAATGATGATAACAATAAAAAGGACACTTTAACATTTGAGAATATGAGGGTGCTTACAGCAAAAACCAGTCACGATCAAAAAAAAAATTTTTGCAAAATATGTTATACATGTTTTTGATATACAGTATAAAGTGAATGAATATTTTCACCAATTATAATCCTCATGACACAAATATATATTATGCAAAAAACCTCAGAGGACCCCGTGACTGGTTTTTGCTGTAAAACCTCCCATGTCCAGGAAGAAAAATCAAATGAAATGTTTATTGGTTTTAATTTATTATTATTGGGATATTGAATTAGTTGATAAAAATGAACTCCTTAAATGTAAATTTTGGACATTAGAAAGGTTTTAGGGTTACATATGTGTTGATTATAATCAAATCATGTAAAGTGTAAAAGAAAAATCAATTTAAAGATTTATTAAGTTGCAGTGTTAACAGGCCAATTTGTTCCCGTGATATTCAAAGAATTCTCCTGTGACGATTAAATATCCCATTTCAAAAATTATCATTTATAATATAATAATATTTATAAGTGAAGAAAAATACTTGTCAAGTATGTCGAATTAATAAATCAAGAAAATGGAGAAGGTTGTCAGAAGGTGCATTAAAAAAATAGAAGTTGGCGGTAGTTGTTATATGACTTATATTTCTAATCCAAACCATTCTAATCGTAATAATATTTAAAAATACAAGTTTTTTTATTCTTTACCATCAAAACCTTTACCCGATATAAATAATTTACTATCTAACAATTTTATCGCCACCATCACATCTACTACCACCACTCCTACTACCAATCAAAATCAGTTAATAATTTCTCGGATTAGGAAATAATAATAACATTGAACTTTTAAATAAATTCATCACCACTAAACATTAGTTTTATTTTAGAAAACAGCGTGCAGTTTTACGTTGTCTATGATGAAACACTTATTTACCAAATATATATGTCCTATTTATTAATTATACAAATAATGGTGAAATTAATGTGTAGATTTATATGATGACGGCCTTTTCTACATATGTAAACTCGATAAGTCGGTCATGTGGGGGTGAGCTCATATGACCAACTTATCGAGTAAACCGACTTATTGAATTAAATTACTTAATTATTAAGAAAATGGGTGCCAACTTATCGAGTAAATCGACTTATTGAGTTTACTGGAGACGATATTCATATAGTTGGCTCGGTCTAAAGACATCCTAAATTTTGGACAAATTTTAAAAGTATAGAAGTCACTTTCTGTCCTACCTTTTAAAAAAATAGCTCTATTAGTTGATAGAATATGTCTTTAGTTTTAATGTAATAGAGAGATTTTCTCAAAAAAATTATTTGTTGTAGGGTTCAATTCTTTTTTAAAACATGTGCTTTACTATGCTCGTGAGGAATTTGTCCACTAAGATCATTTCTAAATTTAGGAACAATATTACCAAATTTAGACTAAATTTCGACTATCGTATCTAATTTGGCAGTAAGAAAACTAAAATCACGTGAACTCCTATTTTTTGAAAATTTTATTACAATTGCTACATATTAATATGTATTTTGAATTTGTTCGCATGGCGCAGCAATAGGAGGTCTTTAGACCGAGCCAATCATACATTTTCCTCCCCCAAATAAATTGGCATATGAAGTTTATTAAAATCTACAAAAATTGGTCGTGTGACCTCATTACATGATTATGTGATTGAGGTAATACCCGATTTTGATAAAAAAGTTTTTTTTACAAGGAATGTATAGCAGAAATTTTCACAAGCCATATCCAAAATCAGATAAAACAATGGGTAAAACAAAAAAATTTGAATAGACAAGATATAGAAAATTTTGCATCCTTTTCCATTTTCTGAAGACTCTATCTATTATTATTATTATTACTAATACTAAATTACCGACAAAAAATTTATTTATTATTATTTCAGATATGGGTTTATTAACAATTATTTTTAGATAGAAATATAGTTTTTCGATGGTTACATATGAAGTTACATGTCTTATTATTATTATGTAAATGGATAAAGGAGAAAAAATGTTACCAAGGATGATGTTTTTATGCGGCAATATACCACCAATAAAAGTAAATCATACGTTAATTGTGCATATAATTTTTTTAATTATTAATTTTGTGCAGCAATTATTAATTCTGATTTTTTTTATGAACAATAATTATCAACGACCACATTCATAAAACATCCTCCACTATAAATTAAATATATACTAATCAGCTTTCAAGGTTAAATATGACAATTTTATCCCTTTTTATAAATATTTACTATTACCATAAAATCCGGAGTACCCGTGACAAATAACAATTATCAAGATGTCACGGATGCTGCCTTTCCGGTATGCAAACAATTATGCGGTAATTTTGGGTTGATTATGCAAATGATGCAGGGAGAAAGAATTATTACAACTTTAATTCCTCCAAAAATGTAAAACCAAGCTAATGCCTTTACAAAGTTACGATTTCTCTTTATTAATCCCCAAAATTGATTATATTAGAATGAACAGATTAGATGAATTGAAACTTGAAAATTTTCTTTTTAACAAAAATAAGATGTCATAAAGTACTAGATAATGACTGACTTGTCGAGTTTACATGTGTAACCGAAATCCAATGTGACGAAAATCCTTGTTCTCTATTCTCTATATAAAAAATCTTGGGTTTTTCTAAAAAAGGTACAATGATATTTCTTGTCGATCGATGATGGTTAGATTATGTAAACGACCAATTTAGTAATATTATTAAAAATTGACAGTCTATATATATATACATATATAGTATATACCATAACCATTATAAATAAATTAGTAATTATATAGTAAATAAATTATAAGAGGTTGCTGTGGGTTTGCATAATTATCAAACAAGTAGATTCCTGAAATCATACATCATAATTACATTCAATTCCTTTTTACAACGAACGTTGTTAATTTTGCGAACCATCATCAATACTCGTAACCTCTAATATTAATATTTTATACTCTTCTAAAAATTTTTAATCGATAATAGAATAATAAAAATCAGGATCTGTCAACGTTCAGTGTTACGTGTGGCAGGATCAATCCTTGAGTTTTATGAACGTTCAGAGTAAATGTATTCTGGAGATTGTTTTCTTAAATGCTCTCTATCACCATAAATTCAATTCTTTCTTCCACTGATCGTTCCCTAAGTGGGAGTTACAAAAATATGGTTTTTCCACCATTTATTATTATAATTTCCTTTTTTTACATTTTTAAATAAATATTTATTATTATGGTATTTAATATATGTGGTTTTAACACTATTCGAGAATTGTCATAATGATAAACAATAATTGATCCTACATTTTCGAAAAAGGCATGGTTGATTTCTTATTAATATTTAATATTAACAATAATGAATTAATTCCGAATTGTTTGCGTTTTATAGTGGCGTGGAATCATGTTCACATCATCAAAAAAAAAGCAGCATGGTTTGTTATTTAAATATTAATAACAAGGAAAGGAAATTTAATTACAAATTATTATGCATCCATCTTCTTTACATTTTCAAAAAAAAACTGGTTGATCCCTTTAACAATAATTTCGAATTGTTTAGTAGTTGGTGAGAAGTGTTTCTTACATTTTTGAAAAAGGCTTGATTTAACTAAATGATATTAAAAAGGATAATGATAAGGATAATGATAATGACTGATAATGAAAATGTTCAATGGAATGGTCAAAGTTCTTTATAGAAATTTTGTGAAACAAATTTTTTCTAGAATATTGCAAATCTTTTCCAAATTGTTACAAGTATGTCGCACTGATCCAATCGATTATTAATATTAATAATTTAATTCGGAATTAGAATATGCTTTCAGCCAAGGAATAATTCTAATTCCGGTAAACAGTTATCAATATATATTTTTTCTAACATATAAAATATGGGTTTTTTTATTACCACGAGTATAAGCTGATATTGATAGATAACTGCAAAAAAAAAACGTAAATAATTCATCATTGACGGATTTTTTTATCATTAATGCAAATGACCAATTTAATTCAATTCAATAAGAGATTTTGGCGTGAATATCCAAAATAAACAAATAAAACAATCTTGTTACACGTATTTTTTATATAAATAAATACTGTGATGGCAAAAAATATATTTATTTATTTATAAAACAAAAATCAAAACTAAAATGCCAGAAAAAAATTACGCAAATAACAACAATTACACTAATAAAAACATTCACAGTGATACTAAACACGATGATTTAATAATCAGTAGTAGCGGAAGAAGTAAAGGCAATTATAATAACGATTACAACAACACAGAATTCGATGATTTCAGGTAAAGAATTCATTATTTTCATCATTATTGTCTTGGATCAGAAGTTTAAAAATTTCTTGGTTTTAATTAGTTGAATCTAATCCTAATTAGCAATAAAAGACAAAAAAAGATTGCTGATAATGATCTAAATAATAATAATAATAATGATGATGATGACAATGGTGATGGTTATGATGGTGATGATGGTGATGATGATGATGATGATGATGATGGTAATGATAATACTGATGATGACGCGACAGAAGTAAACTCTGAAGAAGAAGTAAGTTTGATTGATCGAAGTTGCGTCATACCTATTATGGCGTACACATAATCTGCAATTCTTTATTTTTATTTTTATTTTATTGATACAATTCCTTGATAATAGATCGATCCAGATGAAATTATTAAGAAAAAAGAAGATTCAGAGAGAACGTTATTACAAAACAAATTTCATTATTTCTTTGAAGAACCAAGATCCATATTGGCCAAATCTTTCTTAATTTTGTCAGTATTCTGTATGGTATTGACAGTTGCTGTAATATGCATTGAATCTTATGCAACAATACCTGACTTTGATGATATATGGTAAATTATGACAAATATTACCAGTAATTATTCATTGAAATTTAATTTAACCTGTTATTAATTGGTGCTAGGTTTCCAATAGATTTAGTGGTCGCGTCTATATTCACAGTAGATTATTTTGGAAGATTTTATGCGTCATTGCATAAATTTAAATTTATATATAGTAAGTTGTCTTTTACCATTACAATCAATTAATTACTATCATTTTTATTTGTTTAATGTTAATATTAACATTATGACGATGATGATACATAGGACCGTTGAATGTAATTGATTTCTTGTCAATTTTACCATTTTATCTACAATTTATACATATACCAGGTCAAGCTGATGTAAATTTCTATTTTATTTTTAAAGGGGATAACTTTTTCAAAAATTGTGAAATAGTAACCAAGATGATTTTTTTTTTTTTACAGCTATTTTTAAGAGTTCTCAGAATTGTTAGACTATTGAGAATACTACGAATAATTCATATAACAAGATATTCAATTGGACTTAGCGTAGATATACTTTATTTTTCTTTTCATGTGCAATATAAATACAAATGATAAATATAAAACATAAAATATTTTTATATTTAGATAACGGCTAAAGTATTTAAAAGATCAATGCATCAAATACTTATGGTTTCATTGTATTTATTGATAATTCTGCTTATATCATCAGCAATTATGTATGATGTTGAGCATGGAGAATTCCTCGACCCAGCCACTTTGAAATGGTACCGTTACAATGGAACTGGTATGGAAATAAGTCCATTCCAATCAATCATAGATACCTTATGGTGGTCGATAACCACATTGACCACAACCGGCTACGGTGATGCAGTACCTGTCACGGCATCAGGCAAATTTGTAGCTGGAGTAACTATGATCTGTGGTATAATGGTGATAGCGTTACTAACATCTATCATTGGATCAAATTTCGTATCAGAATGGGCCCTTCATAAACAAACCCAACACCAACTTCGACTACGAAAAAAAACCGCCGCTGCTCAAAATGAATATCAAGTTAGTAAAACAAAAAGGATACGTATTTTACGTAGTCAAAATGAAATAATGCTAGAAACAATATCAGAAATTCAAGATAAATTATCCGATTTAAATCCACCGTTATACTACAAGAAATATAAAAACATTCGTGCCAAATATATTGAGGCAACGAAAAGAATATCAGAACTGGAAGCTAAATTAGAAAAATGTAGCCAAACCATTCGTAATTTTGAATCGCCTGATGACTATCAGATTCATTCAATAGAGAATAATAATAACAATGATACTGCTGGTGATGGTTTTGATAGTAATGTATTTGATTATAATGATCTTATTAATAGTAATGATTCTAGCGTAACCTACCATGGTGCAAGATCTTTCAATTGGAAAAAGATGTCATTTCAAAAATCAAGAACTTTAGACAACGATTATATAAATAACAAATTTTTTCCTTATAAAATTAATAATAATAATAATAATAATAATAATAATAATAATAATAATAATAATAATAATAATAAAAATAATAAATTTTTAAATACTTTAAGAATGCCATCACTAAAAATGAAATTTACTAAAAGTTTACCAAATTCAACGTTAAGCTCAAATAATGGAAACATTTCAGCAGATAAACAACTTGTTGGATCTCCTACTGATTTGAGACCTAATTATAATCCCGTGGAAAATGTTGACAATACTAATAATGGTAATGGTAATGGTAATGGTAATGATAATAATAATGGTAATGGTAGTGGTAATGGTAATGGTGAAAACGTTGATAATTATGCTGATAATTTTGAATACTTTGCTTCATCAGCATCACCAGCAAGAATAATAAATAATAATAATAATAATTCTGATAATTCTGATAATTTTGCTTCGTCAGCATCAGAGTCAGCATCAGCATCAACATCAACAAGAATTAATAATAATAATAATAGTAATAACAATAATAACAACAACAACAACAACAACAACAACAACAACAACAACAACAACAACAACAACAACAACAACAACAATAATAATAATCTCATTCAAAGACATACAGAAATAAAAAGTAAAGACGATGATGGTGGTGGTGGTGATAATAATGATGATGATAATAATGTTAGCTACTATTCAGAAAATTTAATAGAAAAAGGTTCCGATCAGAATAAAAATTCAAATAAAGAAGATGATTTAAAACAAATTGGAATAATAGTTGATGATGGTGGTGGTGGTGATAATAATGATGTTAATGTTAATGTTAACTACGATTCAGAAAATTTAATGGAAAAAGGTTCAGATCAGAATAAACATTCAAATGAAGAAGATGATTCAAAACAAATTGAAATAATAGTTAATGATCCAATAATAAAGAGAGAGAAGTGAATTAATTGAAAATTATTTATTAACTTATTATTAAATTAAAAAAAAAAAACATTTTAAAAAAATAAAATTACAATTAGATTTTAATAATACAATTATTAATCGAACAAATTAAATAATTATTTACAATAACTGATAATATCATTAATCTTCTTTCATGCTTGAATTAATTACTGCAGAAATTTGTTGACAATTGTGACAATTACAATTTTTTTTTAGAAATTTGATTGTGTCATCATCTCCACCACCACTGCTATTACCATCATTACTATTGGAATTTGAATTATTTGAAATCGCGTCATCAAATTTTGATTTAACTTGATTAACATAACCTTGTTTTGTGATAACACGTGACGACAAAGAAGATGAAGACGACGACGACGATAATGTCTAGTTAATTACGAAAATTTTTTAATTTTTTTGATTTTTTCCAAATAGAAAAAAATTTTTTTATAAATAAATATTCAAACTTACGTTACCGCCGCTGCTACTATTATTCATAGATGATAATAATTTTTCTTTCATATAAGCAACCGAAGATCCACATTTATTAGATATAGGAGTTGTATTGCTTTTACTCGCATTATTATCATTATCATTATCATTATCATTATAACTTCCTTCCAATGAGAAAGATTGTTGGTACTGATGTTGTTGTTGATAACGAATTAGCCGCCGATGTACAGGCAAATCAATCGGGAACGAGTTTACCAATAATTGAGTTTCATAACTTGGCATTGGTCTTAACGAACTTTCTACATTCTTACTATTTTCGACATTTGAAGAATTACCATCATCTTTAACATTATCTTGATTTTGATTCTTCGCGTTAACTTCCTCCATATTAGAACTATCTTCACCGTTTTTATCGGTTTGATTTACTAAAACATTCTTATTATCACTAACATCCTCGTTATTAATATTATTCCCGGTATCATCACTACCATTCTCGGTATTATCACCATTATCGTTATGATTATTATCATTATCTGGTATAATAATATTGTTATCATGACCATCTTTAATGTTATTTTTTTCATCTCTTAAAAATGGTTGATCGTCATCATGAACACCAATTGAAACCCTTGTCAACAACAAATTAGAATTAATGGTAGCGGTAGATGATGATGAATCATTAGAAGTCAATGACATGCGATGGTAATATGAATTTGTCCCAATGTTATTTTGAGATATTGAAATGCCACCACCGCTATTACTTCTTCTATTACTGAAATCATTTCTATTGTTACTAATATCATTATTAGTATTATTGCTAATATTGTTAGCGATTGTAACTTCTATTGTATTTTCCTCCTTTTTATTTTCTTTCTTTGTATTCTTCTTCACACCTGCATTTTCGACTTCTATTTTATCTTCGTCATCATTGATTTCAATAGTTTTGTATTTACTATTGCCACCAATATTACCATTATTCTTATTGTTATAATTATAATGATTATTTGATTTTGGTGATATATAATCCATTGCTGCCTTTTGTAGTTCAACCATTGATGCGATCGAAGCCGTCACTTGGTGCGATGGTTTATAAGTTGAGACTCTACGTTTAACCGGTATATCGATTGGCGCTCGTGAAGAAGATGGCGATGAAATGGGTGGTGAGTTGGGTGATGAAATGAGTAGTGAATTGGGTGGTGAAGTAGATAAAATTGTTGAAATGGTTAGCGACGCCTAATAAAAATATATTATGATGATAATTAGTAAAAAAATTTTTTTTGATCATTTCTTCCCCCAAAAAAATTTCACCTGTTGTTGTTGCTCATCATTATCTAAAAACTCAAGAAAATCATTTGAAGTTTGTTTGTTTTGTGACGATGTCAGGCTTGACGAGGAAGATGAGGAATTTTTCGTTAGATTTTGTCCACATTTTTTTATTGAATCGTTAAACGAATTGAAAATTGCTTCCATAGATCGATGAATTACTTGTGTTATAAATGAATGCGCATTTTTTTCCCGTTTTTTTACATTTTCAGAGTATTCGGTACGTGCCCGAGCTATATCCGATCCGATTGACGTCATTGATGAGATATATTTCTAATCGAATAATGAGGAAGGGTGAGTGAGGGAGAGCTGAAAATAATATGCGTGTGTGTGAAAGATATCATTTACCTCGTGAGATTCTGATATTATTTTACTGTTATTATTGCTATTGTTATTATTATTATTTTCTTTTTTTGATTTCTTCTCGTAATCCTTACCAGTTTTCTTAACTTGGTTATCCAAATCAAGTATCAATTCATTATAAATTCGTTCTTCTTTCTAATTAATCAATCAATAAATACGTTCGTTATTAAATATGAGTACAACAATGAAAAAAACAATAACAACAATAACGGTACATTTACACATACAATAGCTTTTTTGGAATATTTTTCAAAGAATTTTTGAAGTAACTCCATTTCTTTTTGTAAAGATTTAAACTAGAAATTAACAAAAATAAAAATCAAATTTAGTAATTCATATCATCATACATGATCTATGTTATATTTATGAAATTATTTTATTTTTACCAATTTTAATTGAACTTCGGCATTACTTTCATAAAATTGAGCAGTTGCTTGAATACTTGTAACTATGATGATGATGATGAAAAAATAATAATCCAATTAAAAATAAATTCGGTAATTTCCACCTCCCAAAGAAAATGAAAAATAAAAAATTTACCATGATTAATATCCATTCCTTTACAACCACCAGCATAACATTTTAAAGATTTATTAATATCTTTAGAAGTTTTACCAAGTTTATTTATTAAATCATGATAATCATTAAATGATGAAATCAAACGTTCTAAATTTTCAATTGATTTTTTTATATCATCAACTGATGCTGATGACGACGACAATGTTCTTTTTTTATTATCATCGCCAATATTACTACCAAGAATGCTAGAAATGTTATTGTTTTCGCTGCTAAAGTTGGTGCTTTCTGGAAAATAACTTGCTAATATCGACGAAGATATATTTGGTGAAGACATTGGTGAAGTACTTATTACAGTTGTAGTTGTAAAGGTGGTGGCAGAGGATTTTGGCGGGGAACCAAAAAATGCGAAAAATTTTTTCTTTTGTGGTGAAAGCATTTTAGAGAAAATTTAAAATAAATGCCTTTTATGATTGACTATGATTATTATACTTATAATTATTATTATTATTATACATTATATTAAAGAAACGTATTAGAATATAATCAAGCGATCAATGTAATCAATGTTTAAAAACTAGACTTTAAATTATTTTTGAAAAAGCCAAATTTCAAAAATTAATTTATTAAAAAAATTGAATCCTCACATCACATTAATTTTTTTAAAAAAAAAAGGAGTTTAAAGTTTAAAGGGGTTCATTACACCAGTTTAAATTTTTATTCCCAACTTGTACCTGATTGTCAACCAAATTTTTTTTTTTTTTTTCAATATCCCCCATAAGATAGTTGGAGTAAAGTGTAGATTAAGTAATACTGGGTTGTTTTTTTTGCTCTCTGTTACCAAGCTTTCAATATTTCTCATTTCATTAGAGTGTTCTCGTCAATTGATGTTTATTTAAATTAGGAGCATCATAAATCATAATTAATGATCTTACTCAAAATAATCAACTACAAAAGAATTGTACAAGGCTGTGCGCCCGGTATTATACTGAAATAAAAAGGCAAAATTTGACTTGGAGGGCCAGATTATTTAACAGCCTACCTTAAAAATTTTCTTAAAGCAGGTACATATGATGAAGAAGTTATATCTCAAATTTGGTGGTGGTTGCTAAACAACAAGGGTATCAAATGGGGATAAAAGTCATTCGATTATAAAATTTACTGGTAGTTTAAAAAATATAAATTGGACGTGTCTCAATTTATAACTCGTGCAAAAATTAAAATCATTATCATTATTAATTTTGTCGAAGTCGTCATGTGATTTATATTATTTTGCAGAAGTAATAACCCTCAAATATAATACGCACTGAGAAAAAGCAGTAAAGTAATGTGATTTTATCATCGAAACATCAAATTAGAATAATAATAATTAATACCGTGGGACTGACACATCCAGTAAGAATTGCCATTCCAAATAAAGGATATTTAGCATCAACTAATTTTTGTAAGTTAACTGCTTGGTTACAATATTTTGAAGGTCTTTTTTTGAAGATTAAATCATTAAATTAAATATCTGTTGATTAATTAATTATGTAATTGATTTATTTGTTTAGTAATGTTATATGGTTTTTTTAATCTATTGTGATTATGATTATGTAATGATAAATTATTAGTTATAAAAATAACATTTTTTTCTCACTAAAAAAAAAATGTAATTATAACAATAATAAATTGAAATTAGAAATGGATCAATATAGAGGTCATAATTATCAAGAACGACAACCACTAGAACGAAGAGAAAAGGAACAGCAAGAACAAGAAGAAGAAGAAGAAGAAGAATATGGAGAACAACAAAAAAAAGTAGAATCAGAAATAATAGAAACTTATAAACATGGAAAAGAAGCTATTTCAGGAGCATCAGGATTAGCAACAGGCGTAATTGCTTCAACAAGCTCTAAAATTATTGAAACTACTGAAGACACAATTAGTGAAACTAAAGGAGTTATTGGTTATGCAGCACAAAAAGGCAAAGAGGTTGCTACACATCCTATATATTATATGCAAAAATCAACATCTTTCTTTTGGGAAAAATTTCCACCTTTGAGTTGGTTTACTTATGGAGTGATAGCATTAAATGCCATACCTTTAACAATCTTATTGATTTTTCTTTTTATCACAACAAGTATTGTTGTGTTAGTTACTGGCACTGGAATCTTTTTGGCCGAAGGATTTTTCATTGGTGTTGGATCATTTTTCTTGATTCCTGTATTCATTATAATGATTTTTGCATCATTTGTTACTGCTTTTTTCACTATTTTTGGCTGGACTTTTTACAAAGTTGTTAGATATATATTACACACTTTTGACTTAATTGTAGACGATGATACAGCAACATTATCTTTTGATGCTCAACAGATCCTTTCTAAAACTAGTGAAGTTCCCACAGGTGGCAAAGAAAAAAATGGCAGAGAAGATGATTGGTTAGTTAAGGAGAAATAATTAATCATGATAGAGGCAGAGTTAGTGAAGAAATGAGTTGTGAATATTCTTTTTAAATTTGCAATAATTAATCATGCTATTATTTTATCTACACAATATGATATATTAAATACAATTAGTTATAAAAAACAATAAAAATAAATTGCTAATCTAAAATCTAAATCATCTTCATCTTCATTAACTTTGATTTTATTTCAAAAACTTGTATATAATTAACTGATTAATCAAAAATAAAAACTTGTGAGGAATCCCATACTGCAAAATTTTCTAATAATAATTTGATTATTGCTGCTGTTGATGATATTTATCATTAATAATATACAAATTCTACCACTAAACCATCTTCATTATTGTTAATGTTATCAAACATTGGATTATTTATGAACCAGTATTACTCTTTATAACCAACTATTACCTTTCTAGAATCAAGTCATTGAGTTTTTAAATCATGTGCTTTAAAGCTATCAAACTAATGTTAGATGAATCAACATTTGTGGTATTAGCACACCAAAGCTCCACAATTGTTGCTTTTTACCAAAGTACTTTGTTTTAAATGAAAATAAAAATAAAATAAATATTTTCGATTTTAATTGAATCATTTATTTGTTCTCCTCTGCCTTTTCAAACAATGACTTGTCTATCAAATCGCCAATTTTCAATAAGTTGGTCGTATGTAATGTCTACTTGTTTATGTGTATTAAGCAAATTTTAATTAGTTATTCATGGTTTTGTCTCTTCACAATACTGATTAAAATATAAAATATAACTATTAAAACTGCCACTATTGAATCTATCTTTATCAAGTTTTGATTCTGACTTTGAACCTTTTTTAAAATGCAAAAAAATTTTAATTAGTTATTTATTGGTAAAAAAGAAAATAACTTGCAGGATCATTTAAAAATATACTTATAAACAGTAATAGTAATTATTTAATAAAATAATGTAGAAAAAAAAAACTGAAATCAAATTCAGCTTATTAATAAATAATGCTTCCCTCTTCCCTCATCCTCTTCCAAATGAAGGTAGCTAGATTTGTCAAATGAATTAAAACTATTGATAGAATCAATCCAAAATTATAAAAGTTTCAAGAGGAAATTTATTATTAACATCTATATATATATTTTCTCATTTCATTTAATTCTTTTTATTCAATTTTGCATTTTCTCTCAAGACTGGATACTTGAGAAACCAAAATTTAACAATCCAAGGAATTCCATGAGACCTTGATGCTGGATTCCCATTTACATCAAAATATATCATAGTAGAAAAGGTTGGTCCTGGGATAATTCAATACTGCACACATTGAAACTTTTTTAGGTGCCATCTAAGAGTCTAAACTATAAAAATTTACAGTTCTAACACCTAGCAAATTTCAGGTATCGCCCAAAATATATATATTCAGTTGTAATTTTTTACATTCTTTTTATATATAACATATTAGACACATATCTTTTGATGGCCTCAATATATTGATGATAACACTTTAGAATATCTTCAGGTATCCTTTTGCATATATATTGTGCTAGAGAGGTGCCAAGATGATATCAAGATATTATTATATTTAATCATTAATAAAAAGTTATTTTTTTTTTGCAAAAAAAATTGTCAACACATCTGGATTGTTAAAAACTTTTTACATACAATCTTTTGAAGTAGGTTCACCACAAGTAGAACAAAGAAGTATATGATTAAATATATCTTTTAAGATAATTATTTGATCACAAGACTATAGAACAAAACACTAATACAATTTGTTTGGCTACATTGACAAGGCCCTAGTTAATGTGGTAAAAATAGCATTACCAAAGAAAAAAGACTATACCTATCATGAGAAATTGCAAACAGAATAATATCCTGATGAATATATTAGATCAAATATAATTAACATATTCCCAGACAAAGTTACATATAACAAAAATGAAAGAATGTTTTAAAAATAAACCAGCAAGAGGAATATCATAAGTTGTATTATGAAATAACTGAAAAAGAAGATCAAGAAGAATCTGAGGAAGAATTAGATAAAATGTTTGGTGGCTTAGAAAAGTCTTAAGTCTGGATATCTTGTCAGAGCCAAGCATTATTGATTTAATTTATAATCTGGTGGAAGCATTGCATTGTGAAAGTATCAATATGTAAGTTATGGTTCATTGTACCTAAGGTTGCTTGCTGAAACTCCTCCCGAAATCAATCAGCAGGGTTTTGGCAGGTTACACATTAATTGTTTATTAGAGTTTCAGCAGAGGTTTGCATTTTGAGGTTTTGCAATTTCGGCATAGTTTCAACAAGATTTTTGATAGGATTTAATATACTGTAGTTTTGCCATGGTTTCAGCAATTACTAAGGAGGTTTCACCCACAACCTTAATTGTACCCAATTGAATGACAAAATAAGTACAGATTGTTTAAGTGCCTCATTAAGAGATACATACCAATCAAGCAAGTAATAGAATCATTAATTACTTCATTGTCAATAAGGTGATTTTCACCAAGCCCTGCATCTTTCAGTTGGAGACAACTTTGATTCTTGAAATTGAAAGAATGTTTTTCAGATTTTTGATGAGCCCATTCAACTATACTAATACCATTCTTAGATTTGGCTTTCATACAATTCAATACATCTTTAAAACTCCATCCCTTTATCAGTAATTGATAATTTTGGCCAGGTAAGTGGGCAATTTGGATCATTATAAAATTTCTGAATGCTTTAGTAACTTGTAAAGATTTATTAATGCTTTTTGTAGATAGATGGATAGCTTGCTGCTACACCAATTAACAGCCCTGGCAAATATTAATAATAATTATAAACAAAAATAATAATAATAATAATAATAATAATAATAATAATAATAAGAGTATGGCCACCTCAATTAAGTTAAACTGCAAAGAAAGCTTGCCTAATTTAAAATAGTTGATCACATTTTTAAAAAAAAACAACAATGAGATATTTTATTCACCTCCTTATAATGATAATAAAAAGACCAGAAAATTCAAATAGTCAGAT